CAAAGGGGGTTGAAGTAGCGTAAAATTATTGTCCTCCTGAGAGGGTACGTAAGTCCCGAAACATTCAAAGGAAATTTAAATTTACCAGCTGTTTTAAATGTAGTATTCTTGTCATTTTAATTTTGGCTAAATTTGACTTCAATCGCCAGCGGCTGAAGGGATGATATAAATCCAGCTAGGGTCCATGCAGGTAGCAAAAGTAATGTAAGTCCCCATGGTCCCTAATTTGGTGATCTACCTTCAGTTGTTGGCGATCTATAGCCAGTTTTTATATTGTATTGTCCAAATAGTGCTATTAGTTTTAACTTTCCACACTAGTTTTAGTTGTAATTGTGATATTCTAGTTGTTTTACTGTCCTTCGTAGACAGGTTTTTATCATATACATATATTCCATTTCAATGTCAAATATGTTCTCGTCACGATATGGCTGAGATATTGCCGATGTGACGTTAAATATTAACTCACTCACTCCTCACCTGGACGTGATCATACTGATCCCTCAAATTATTGCCCCATTTCCTTTGACTAGCTGCGTTTTTTTAAAACTATTGAAATGAATGATCAACAATAGATTAATATGGTACTTGGAATCCAATAATTTACTTACAAATATTCAGTGTGGATTTCGGTAAAAATCGAATGCTGTTGACCATTTAGTGCGTTTAGAGTCATTTTGTGAAAAATGCCATAATTAATAAACAACATGCAGTGTCAATCTTTTTCGATTTAGAAAAAGCATACGACACGACATGGAAACTTTGGATTTTAAAAGATTTATATGCCTTTGGATTACGAGGCCGTTTGCCTCAATTTATATCCAACTTTTTAAATGACAGGAAATTTCAAGTACGAGTGGGTTCAACCCTGTCTGACCATTACAATCAGGATCAGGGTGTCCCGCAAGGCAGTATTTTGTCTGTAACATTGTTTAGTATCAAGATCAACAGTTTATCAAAGATTTTAAATGATTCAATTGATGGATCACCTTTTGTGGATGATTTTAATATTTCTTGTCGTGGTAAAAATATGCATACCATTGAACGGCAAATGCAGATGTCTTTAAACAAAATAAATAAATGGTGTCTTGAAAACGGCTTTAAATTTTCGAAATCCAAAACTAATTGTATACATTTCTGCCGTAAATACAAACCGCATAAAGACCCTGACCTATCTCTAAATGGCACACCCATCAAAGTTGTGAAGGAGGCAAAGTTCTTGGGTGTTATTTTCGATTCACATTTAACCTTTCTGCCTCATATTAAATCCCTTAAAGCTAAATGCCTGAAGGCACTTGATCTGTTAAGAGTTGTTTCCAACTCAAAGTGGGGAAGGGACCAAACTACCCCCCTACACTTATAAAGATCACTCATCCGTTCTAAACTAGATTATGGCTCCATCGTATATGGTGGAGCTTGCAAAAGCAACCTAAAACTATTAGATTCAATCCATCACCAAGGTCTAAGACTTTGCCTTGGATCGTTTAGAACTTTGGCTGTTGACAGTTTCTACGTCGAGGCCGATGAGCCATCTCTTCCACAACGCCGTTAAAACTATCTTTACAATATATTACAAAACTGTACTCTAACAAATCTAACCCCGCATATAACTGTGTCTTTAATCCCCTCTATGAGGATTTATACACCAAGAAACCTTCTCTTGTTCCGCCTTTTGGGTTCAGAATTAAACCATTCATTTCTGCTGCCGGCATTTAGCTGGAAAATATAGCTCATTCTCGTCTTCATTCTTCTCTTCCTTGGCAATTAGTGAGGCCTGAAGTTGACCTAACTCTGACACAGTTTAAGAAATCAGAAACTAATGAATTACAATATAGACAAGAATATAATCAATTAAAAATCAAATATAGTAAATACAAATCCTTATTTACAGATGGGTCCAAGGATGGTGGCGCGGTGGCATGTGCCACTGTCATTGGATCCAGAACAATATCTTCTAGAATACCGGATAACATCTCCATTTTTCCGGGAGATGCAAACGCCATATTAACAGCTCTTAAATATATTCAAAGACACATTAAACATTAACAATACATAATCTTTTTCGATTCTCTTTCGTGCCTTCAGGCTATTAAAAATCTTTCGTGTAAACATCCACTTTTAATAGAAATTATTGAATTCTATAATGATCTTGCTACTGGCCAATGCGACATCGTCTTTTCTTGGTTACCCAGCCACGTTGGCATTTCTGGGAACACAATGGCTGATCTTGCTGCTAGGGCGGCACTCAACAAATCTATGACACCACTTCTTATCCCATACTCTGATTACAAAGCTAGCATTAGAACCTACATCGGTGATCTGATGCAGAAGAAGTGGGACACCCAAGTGGGTATCAATAAATTACAGGAAATAAAACCTTATATTGGTAACACCTACTTGGGTTGTCGGTCCAGATCTGAGGAGGTCATTATGCGACGATGTCGTATTGGCCATACACGTTATACTCACAAATACCTGTTAAAAGGTGAAGGTCCTCCGTTTTGTATCCCTTGTGATGAGAGAGTCACAGTCAAGCATATCCTGCTTGACTGTGTTGAATTCTCCATCATAAGGGATACATATTTCAATGTGAAAACAGTTGACGATCTTTTTACCACTGTTAATTTTCATTTAATTATTGTTTTTTTTAAGAAATTGATTTAATTGATGAATTTTGATTAAGATGTTGTGTAAATAGATGGCTTTTATGATTGATAGTTTAGATTGGTAACTTAGATTGTTAGTAGCTGTACCCTCAAAGGGGGTTGAAGTATTGTAAAATTATTGTCTTCCTGAGAGGGTACGTAAGTCCCGAAACATTCAAAGGAAATTTAGACTTATCAGTTTTGGAAACGTAGTATTTTTGTTATTTTAACTGTCGGCTAAATTATCCTACAATCGCCAGCGGCTGAAGGGATGGTGTAAATCCACCTAGGGTCCATGCAGGTAGCAAAAGCACTATAAGTCCCCATGGTCCCTAGTGTGGTGATCTACCTTCAGTTGTTGGCGACCTATAGCCCGTTTTTATATTGTATTGTCTTCGTAAATAAACTAGTTTTACATGTTCATGCTAGTTTTAGACTCCATCTGTGATACTCTAGTTAGTTTACAGTCCTTCGATGACTGATTATTTAGCAACTTTAATTTATTGTTTATATAAAACATTTCTCGTCACTATATGGCTGAAATATTGCCGAGGTGACGTTAACTTTTAACTCACTCACTCACATTAACCACAACTTCACTTTCTGGGATATCCCACATGTTTGCACTTGAACTGAATATGTTTCAACATTGTAGTTTAGTAGTTACTTGATCCCCTGTTGCATTAGAGATATATTATTCGCAGTGGTATGGAGAGTTATGGACCTTTGTTTTGTTTTCGTATTTTCATTAGTCAACTTTTAACGTATTTGGATCAATATTCAACATCGACATCATTCAACATCAATATGCAGCAACTTCGATCCCGTTTCGAACCCGTTGATCCTGCCGCAATTCTGTACTCAATAATATCGAAGTTATCGACAGGTGAGTGTCAATAGTGTTAAGTGAAATATCATTTGTACCCTAATTCTAAATAGCAAAGATTGATAGTCTAATTTCGACGTACTGGACAAAAGGGTGTATCTATGCCCACACCTTTTATTGAGTAGAGTCCCATCCAGGATTTTGAACCAACACCCTGAATGACAGGCACCTAATCGCATTTACATTTGTCAGACGGGTACACAAAGGACATGATCTGAACAGACAGTTGGCTGAGGGGGTTAGATGGCTGACTGTGTGTGTTGGCGATTAGGTATGTCTGGGATTGTCGATTCGATCCCGAATTTGCCCCCCAAAAACCCCTAGTATCTGTACTTTACTGAGAAAGCGTTATCATTACACTACTATATATACTGCACGTTAAACAAGTTTAACTGAACGATAAACCCTGTTTTTCAGCCACATAAACATGTACATTTGTGACCATTCTGAGACAAGATGGTCACGAAAATTGGCGAGTGGAGAAGCATGATATATGTAATCTATTCACCCCACAAACCTGTACGGGCCATGTAGATGACAGCTAAAGCCATCACCTGTGACCACAAAATGGGGGCGTAGTTCAGTGAGTAAAATGGACGCTTGAAACTGACCTACTTCTTCACTCAATGTTGTACCCTCATGGCTTTGCTTTTAACCTACTCACGTGCTTAGAATTGATACTGACGATTACTTGCAACTTTCAAGTAGCTGGACACAGTTGTATCTTGTGCACGACTGTAGGTAAATATGTTGCTGCTGCGATAACATAGTGACCTAATTTACTGCGCAGGCGCGCACCTTAAGAGTCCACACGTATTAAACATTGACGTGGAAAGTTGCTCCGATAGTGAACTATATGATGTTTACATTAGACTGCAACAGGGGTACATAAGCTAGTTCACCTTGCCTTACTCCAACCGACATTGACTGATTCCGGTGCTGTGATGTAACTGGAATATCATTCGAAGGGGCTTCAATCGCCATCTCTCTCACTTCCATTGTTTAGTGATTTTATGTGCAGTACTTTTATGGGTTGCCTCCCTTAACTATGCCAGGACCTGTCATTGTGTACTCAGCTGACGGATCTCCCTAGTTACGTAACATTACCTTACCCATGCTCGTCCACACCTTTCCTCCGACATTAATCTACCAACTAAGAAATGGAACAGAAATAATGTACAGCGGTGTCAGGCCGTAACCATATCATTTGTTTGTGTGTTGTCTGACACCTCACTTAGCTATATGACGGCGGTCTGAAAATAATTCAGTTTGGGCCAGGGAAACGCTGACATGAGTCAATCAAGTCAGCGAGTCTGACCATCCGTTCCCGTTATTCGTCTTTCATCTAACAATATTAAAACCAGTGTGAAACCACTTATTTTGTGCGTTTCATTTTTCATCTGATGAAGTCTGTAACTTTTCTGAATACATGCAATGTAGTACTTAATAGTGCTAAATACACAGCAAATTTACACGTAAGCATATTTTTCTTTGTTAAGTTGGTATTTAATGTACATATTTAAAAATAAAAGTATGCTTTAAAACATTAAGAGTGGATCGACGGGTTGGACAACATTTTCCGAATACCTTTGACAATGTATTTCAATAAACATCTTTACTGCCATATCCAGGAGTTAAGTCTTGGTATGTTTGGAGGCATTGGCGGCTTATTCGTTTCAGTCGCCGGACATGGATGTGCTGAATGACGTCCTTAAGTTGTAACAAGATCCGCTGACCGTGCTTTCGAATCCCAGAATCCTTCTGATTATGCCCCTTGTTCTGTCGGTACACCATCCTAGCTTGTAGTTTCACTGAAGTGTTAAAGTGCTTTAACAAGCGTCAACAACGGTTTCCTAAACAAATCACATGCCCTGGTGTAACTGATAGACTGTTCATGCCGGTGGAAAACACAAAGCACACACTCATCGTCATCCATCTTCTTGTAACATTGGGTCGTCTTTACCCCGATTTCAGAGTACAAAGGTGACTGGTTGAAATCTCTGTCAGATATGTTCAAATAATTCTACTACGATATTACGAACACCGTTGTCTGATCTACTCATACGTAAATGCAATTCCTGTGCCTTCAAATGCTCTTTCTATGACGTCGTCAAATCTCTCGTTTTGAGCAACTGTTATCCAGTTCTTCCAGTCCCCAACTTCACCTGAAACAATAACATCACATATTCCATAAGTCTTTGAGTGGTACACGCATACAGGCAGTAACAGAAGATGGGATACTCATGCAACAATATATGACTGAGTCTTCAAATACATTGTACATGAGTCTGGCCTGATGTAAACAATAGATGAATCCTCAAATAAGTAATTCATGAATCGGTTACCCTCTCTACATTGCTGGCGCAATTCTTTGGTATGGGCCATGGGATTGTCAGTCACCCCTGGTCTCCCTCGGCCTTCTGAAAATCGATGTCCTGCATTCATGTCACCCATAAAATGTGACCTCACAACAAGCACTGAAATACTCTGGACCTACTCTTATCCATGTGTGTCCTTACAACAAGCACTGAAATACTTGAACCTATTCCTATTTTTATCCATGTGTGTCCTCACAACCAGCCCTGAAATACTTGGACCAACTCTTATCCACGTGTCTCCTTACAACAAGCACTGAAATACTTGGACCTACTGTTACCCATGTGTGTCCGTACAACAAACACTGAAATACTTGGACCTACTCTTATCCATGTGTGTCCGTACAACAAGCACTGAAATACTTGGACCTACTCTTACCCATGTGTGTCCGTACAACAAGCACTGAAATACTTGGACCTACTCTTACCCATGTGTCTCCTCACAACAAGCACTGAAATACTTGGACCTACTCTTATCCATGTGTGTCCGTACAACAAGCACTGAAATACTTGAACCTACTCTTATCCATGTGTGTCCGTACAAGAAGCCCTGAAATACTTGGACCTACTCTTACCCATGTGTGTCCGTACAACAAGCACTGAAATACTTGGACCTACTCTTACCCATGTGTCTCCTCACAACAAGCACTGAAATACTTGGACCTACTCTTATCCATGTGTGTCCGTACAACAAACTGAAATACTTGCACTTGAAATAGCACTTGGAACCTACAACAAGCACTGAAATCTTTATCCATGTGTGTCCGTACAACAAGCACTGAAATACTTGGACCTACTCTTACCCATGTGTGTCCGTACAACAAGCACTGAAATACTTGGACCTACTCTTATCCATGTGTGTCCGTACAACAAGCACTGAAATACTTGGACCTACTCTTATCCATGTGTGTCCTTACAACAAGCACTGAAATACTTGAACCTACTCTTATCCATGTGTGTGTCGTACAACAAGCACTGAAATACTTGGACCTACTCTTATCCATGTGTGTCCGTACAACAAGCACTGAAATACTTGGTGTGTCCGTACCTACTCTTACCCATCTTATCCATGTGTCCGTACAACAAGCACTGAAATACTTGGACCTACTCTTACCCATGTGTCTCCTCACAACAAGCACTGAAATACTTGAACCTACTCTTATCCATGTGTGTCCGTACAACAAGCACTGAAATACTTGAACCTACTCTTATCCATGTGTGTCCGTACAACAAGCACTGAAATACTTGGACCTACTCTTATCCATGTGTGTCCGTACAACAAGCACTGAAATACTTGTCTTATCATGTGTGTCCTCACAACAAGCACAACAACTGAAATACTTGGACCTACTCTTATCCATGTGTGTCCGTACAACAAGCACTGAAATACTTGGACCTACTCTTATCCATGTGTGTCCGTACAACAAGCACTGAAATACTTGAACCTACTCTTATCCATGTGTGTCCGTACAACAAGCACTGAAATACTTGGACCTACTCTTATCCATGTGTGTCCTTACAACAAGCACTGAAATACTTGGACCTACTCTTACCCATGTGTGTCCGTACAACAAGCACTGAAATACTTGAACCTACTCTTATCCATGTGTGTCCGTACAACAAGCACTGAAATACTTGGACCTACTCTTATCCATGTGTGTCCGTACAACAAGCACACTGACCTACTCTTATCCAAATACTTGGACCTACTCTACTCTTACCCACTGTGTCTTATCCTCACAACAAGCACTGAAATACTTGGACCTACTCTTATCCATGTGTGTCCGTACAACAAGCACTGAAATACTTGGACCTACTCTTATCCATGTGTGTCCGTACAACAAGCACTGAAATACTTGGACCTACTCTTATCCATGTGTGTCCGTACAACAAACTGAAATACTGAAATATCCTTCCGTACAACAACCTTGGACCTACTCTTATCCATGTGTGTCCTTACAACAAGCACTGAAATACTTGGACCTACTCTTATCCATGTGTGTCCGTACAACAAGCACTGAAATACTTGAACCTACTCTTATCCATGTGTGTCCGTACAACAAGCACTGAAATACTTGGACCTACTCTTATCCATGTGTGTCCGTACAACAAGCACTGAAATACTTGGACCTACTCTTATCCATGTGTGTCCGTACAACAAGCACTGAAATACTTGGACCTACTCTTATCCATGTGTGTCCGTACAACAAGCACTGAAATACTTGAACCTACTCTTATCCATGTGTGTCCGTACAACAAGCACTGAAATACTTGGACCTACTCTTATCCATGTGTGGACCTACTCCTTACAACAAGCACTGAAATACTTGGACCTACTCTTATCCATGTGTGTCCGTACAACAAGCACTGAAATACTTGGACCTACTCTTATCCATGTGTGTCCGTACAACAAGCACTGAAATACTTGGACCTACTCTTATCCATGTGTCCGTACAACAAGCACGAAATACAACAAGCACTGAAATACTTGGACCTACTCTTACCCATGTGTGTCCGTACAACAAGCACTGAAATACTTGGACCTACTCTTATCCATGTGTGTCCGTACAACAAGCACTGAAATACTTGAACCTACTCTTATCCATGTGTGTCCGTACAACAAGCCCTGAAATACTTGGACCTACTCTTATCCATGTGTGTCCGTACAACAAGCACTGAAATACTTGGACCTACTCTTATCCATGTGTGTCCTTACAACAAGCACTGAAATACTTGGACCTACTCTTATCCATGTGTGTCCGTACAACAAGCACTGAAATACTTGAACCTACTCTTATCCATGTGTGTCCGTACAACAAGCCCTGAAATACTTGGACCTACTCTTATCCATGTGTGTCCGTACAACAAGCACTGAAATACTTGGACCTACTCTTATCCATGTGTGTCTTTACAACAAGCACTGAAATACTTGGACCTACTCTTATCCATGTGTGTCCGTACAACAAGCACTGAAATACTTGAACCTACTCTTATCCATGTGTGTCCGTACAACAAGCACTGAAATACTTGGACCTACTCTTATCCATGTGTGTCCTTACAACAAGCACTGAAATACTTGGACCTACTCTTATCCATGTGTGTCCGTACAACAAGCACTGAAATACTTGGACCTACTCTTATCCATGTGTGTCCGTACAACAAGCACTGAAATACTTGGACCTACATGTGTGTTATCCATGTGTGTCCGTACAACAAGCACTGAAATACTTGGACCTACTCTTATCCATGTGTGTCCGTACAACAAGCACTGAAATACTTGGACCTACTCTTATCCATGTGTGTCATTACAACAAGCACTGAAATACTTGGACCTATCTTCCATGTGTGTCCGTACAACAAGCACTGAAATACTTGGACCTACTCTTATCCATGTGTGTCCGTACAACAAGCACTGAAATACTTTGACCTACTCTTACCCATGTGTGTCCTTACAACAAGCACTGAAATACTTGGACCTACTCTTATCCATGTGTGTCCGTACAACAAGCACTGAAATACTTGGACCTACTCTTATCCATGTGTGTCCGTACAACAAGCACTGAAATACTTGGACCTACTCTTATCCTTATTGTGTGTCCGTACAACAAGCTTACATGTGTGAAGCACTGAAATACTTGGACCTACTCTTATCCATGTGTGTCCGTACAACAAGCACTGAAATACTTGGACCTACTCGTATCCATGTGTGTCCTTACAACAAGCACTGAAATACTTGGACCTACTCTTATCCATGTGTTTCCGTACAACAAGCACTGTGTGTCAGTACAACAAGCACTGAAATACTCGGACCTACTCTTATCCATGTGTGTCCTTACAACAAGCACTGAAATACTTGGACCTACTCTTATCCATGTATGTAAGGCTTTTGACACAGTATGGAGAGCTGCTCTCTGGTTTAAACTAATTAAAAGCGGAATAAACGGACGATTTATGAGACTTGTTAAAAATATGTATCAGCAGATTAAATCAGCAGTTTCCGTCGATAATGATACATCTGACTTCTTCCCTTGCAACTCAGGTGTTAGGCAGGGAGAAAATCTATCCCCAATGCTGTTCTCTTTGTTTGTAAATGACCTTGATGATTTTCTAAAAGATAATGGCTCTAGGTGTCTCAGTATTGAAACTATCACCACAGATAATATCTCCCTTTTCATCGCTTTCATATGATTGTTGTATGCTGATGATACTGTCCTCTTAAATGATAACCCAGATGATGTACAAAAGTCTCTCACCAGTTTCTACGATTATTGTAAGAAATGGAAACTAAATGTCAATATTTCGAAAACAAAAATTGTGACATTTGGAGGTGGTCCCGCAAAACATACAAAAACGTCATTTAAATTCGGAGATAAATGTCTTAGTACAGTGGACGATTACACGTATCTTGGTATAAAGTTTCATAGAAACAGGCGACTTATAAAAGTTATTAAGAATTTGTCAGAAAGTGCAACGAAACCAATGTTCTCCCTATTAAAGAAGGCTAGGAATGTTAATTTACAATTGATTGTCTGTTATCAGCTTTCGACGTTATGGTTGTCCCGATACAGCTGTATCGTTGTTAGGTATGAGGTCATGAAAATCTTGTTACTGTTGAAAGAGTTCACCTTAAGTTTTTAGAATTGGCGGCTGGTCTCAAAACCTCTACTCCTTCGTTCATGCTTTGTGGTGAATTTGGAAGATGTCCATTGTACATAGCTATTTATAAAAGAGTTATTTCCTTCTGGCATAAACTTGCAAGCAGTATGCAATCGCGTAAACTGTCCCAGGTT